TGGCATTTCAAAGCCTTCTTTAGCTGTTCTCTCTTCTCATCACTCCTCCTTTTTCTTCCTTATGTTAAATCCAATCCTCAACTCCTTCAGTTCCTACTAAAGAATAACGACTTGTCATCCCCCTTGATTGCTGCAGCAGCTGTTGCTGGTTTGCCAATCAGTCCCATGCAATCTCCTCTCATTCTCTTGGTGTAGTTTCTCCCCCAGTTTTTGCATGAGAAATCAAAGAGGACATCTGAGTGAATCCTCACTAAGTTACAAGCATTTACTAGCGAGGATAAGGGTGGTAAAAGCTAACCCTTATCCTGCCTGTGCCTCAGTGCTGCTAATCCTCGCTATTGCTGCAGTAAGTCATAACTAGTCAATCTTTATTTAAAAAAATTAAGAAAAATTTAAAAATCTTCATGCTACAGCACTTTACAACAATCTGTGATTCCTTTTCCCAGGGACGCGTAAGCCACAATAAATCTTTTGCGAAGTGAAGTAAAATTAATTAGTCTTGCAGTTGCAAATGAACGTATTTTACTTCCTGCTGCAGTGGACTAGGAAGACACGTGCGGTTCAGGCTGAAAGGCAGCTAAAAATCCAATTAAATTAACACCAGCTTTTAAGTGAATGGACAGTATCTTCTTACACACAGTCCCTAATCCACGAGGTATCTTCTGCCCACACCCTAAATTAGCAGCAGATTTGCTGAAATAAAAAAAAATATAATAAAAAAAAAATAAAAAAGGACAAAACTCTATTAAGTATCACCTGTTCTCTCCAAAGCTTGATTTCCCCTTGGACCATCAGCTGGTCCATTTCAATTCTCATCCCTGCATTTTATCCCTTTCACTGCAGCAGATAGTTAGAAATGTTTAAAAATTACTTGGACAAGGCTTGTGTGTTCCTTGAATGTGATGTTTCATTTCAGTGTAACGTAAAATTAGGTTTAGTAATCTCTCCTGCCCAAGAACAAGTTACATCCCAGTGATTTAGGGGGGTTGGCATGTAAGTGGAACTGTAGGATACACAGCGGAGGTCTGACTCCTTGCCAGTCAGAGACCCACCAAAATCAAAATTAAAGTCGTTAGCTCCCCAAAAAATGAAAGTATTAAACAGATTTTGCTCCCGAAAAAAGATGTTTCATATCGCTTGTTGTATCAAGTTGTAGTCCTAAAAATACCTGCAGGACCCGTCATCAGATTAAAGCTGTGTGGAGTGTCAGCAGGAACGGGGCCTAAATGGGTTTGATCAGTCATAATGTTAGATGGTTGTCACTGCATAAATCAGGGCAATTTCAGATAATTCTGTTAACGGTTCAAACGCTTTCATCTGAAATCGTACGTGTAATGGTCAGTCTACCCTAAAGTGGAATTAGCTGCCAAGATAATGTCTCTCAGAGCTGAGTTGGAGGTGTTTCAGTCCAACCTTCAACGAGCTTCACTCCTGCTGTGACCCAGGGCACTGCCCACTGGCAATTAGCACACGCTTCATCCTTCTTTCTTCCTCACCCCACTGGCTCTGGAAATGGATAAACGTGAGCTCAGTCCTTGCTGGCTGCCTGCCTTCCCCCAACTGCGCCCTGCTCCCTGCCCCTGGAAGCGGTTGATGTTCTTTTGAACATCATTATGGCTCCATCTCCGTGTTTCCCTGTCCCAAGGGAGAAAAGGTTTACAATAAAAAAAAGTAGAGATCAGTGTGGGAATGAAAATGATTTCTCACATATCTCTTGGTCGACAACCAGCTGAACATGAGCCAGCAGTGTGCCCAAGTGGCCATGAAGGCCAACAGCATCCTGGCCTGTATCAGGGACAGCGTGGCCAGCAGGACTAGGGAAGTGACCGTCCCTGTCGAGTGCTGTGTCAAGTTTTGGGCCCCTCAATCCAAGACAGACACTGAGGGGCTGGAGCGGGTCCAGAGAAGGGCAACGGAGCTGATGAGGGGTCTGGAGCACAAGTCTTATGAGGAGAGGCTCTGGGGTGTTGAGGAGAGGGAGCTGGGGGTGTTCAGCCTGGAGAAAAGGAGGCTGAGGGGAGACCTTCTCGCTCTCTACAACTCCCTGAAAGGAGGGTGTAGCCAGGGGGGGTGGGTCTCTTCTCCCAAGGAACAGGTGATGGGACAAGAGGAAATGGCCTCAAGTTGCACCAGGGGAGGTTTAGGATAGATATTAGGAGAAATTTCTTTACCGAAAGGGTTGTCAAGCTGTGGAAAAGGCTGCCCAGAAGAGCGGTGGAGTCACCATCCCTGGAGGTATTTAAAAGACGGGTAATGGTGCTGAGAGACATGGGTTAGTGGTGCTTTTGTCAATGTTAGGTTGGACTGGATGATCTTAAAGGTCCCTTGCAACAATAATGATTCTATGACACTTCAGAGATTAAATCAATTTGACTTTTAACACTACTTTAAAGATGAACTGATTCCTGAATAAAGTGAGGAACTGCCAATGCAAAGGTGTCTATCAAGCACTTCCCTTGCTATGTTCAAAGTGCTTCTACCCCTAAATATTCCATAGGGGCCGAGATGGTGCACAGTGGGAAGGCTGCAGTTCTGCGCTGCCAAAGAGGCACGGTGGCATATCCTGGGACACGGACAACCCTTCTCACTTTCCTTCCCCTCCAGGGAACCAAAAGCCTCAGCCAGCAGAAGACTCGGGTACTGGTGCAGGCAAGGACTGGAGTGGAGAACCACCATGTGCCTGACCCTACAGCCTGCCGGAGAGCGGCCCCGGGGCCGGCTAACGAAGGGAGAGCGACGCTCCTCTCTCGTTAGCTGCAACAGAAACCCCGGGAACAGACTTCTCCGCAGGGGATTATTTAAGGCTTTTGCAGAAACACTTCCCATTGAGCAGCCAATGCTGAAATATGCTTGTTGTCTGAAGGCGCGTCTGCTTAGCCATGGAACTTATATTCAACAGGAGACCATTACGCTGTCATAACATTCGATTCCACTTACATTACCTCTTAATTAACACTGGAACATTTAGCAGCTATTAGGAGAGACATTCTCCAGAGTTCTAGATTTCAGCGGAGCTCGCAGGCAGGCTGCCCCCGGGTACTGCACTGCGAGAGGTTAAGATTAGAGATGCCATTTGAATTAACAAAACTAACATCATCTTTTGACTCATTCATGTTGCCAGAGGAGAAGTATTTGCAAATACTCCGTGCTGGTATTGCTACGTGCCAGTGTTAAAACACCTCCCATGTTTTAAAAGAATCTCAGAGCTACTGTTTGGGGCGTAAGGTGTAAGACAAATTAAATCTTTAAAGCAATTTGTAAAGCAGACAGATTATCTCTCTTCCTTAAGTTTAGTAAAGAAAAGACTGCGTTTCACACTTAAAGCATATATTGGCACATATTGAGATACGTATCCGTGCACGTGTGTGTGCTAAACCAAGATCAGTCATTCCTGACAAAATGTTAGCCCTCAACCCCCTCCCCTGGTCCCAGAGTATCCATCAGGAAATTGCTAAAGTCATAGTCCAGAAGTAACAGGTCCACATGTAAAACTCAGTTTCTTCATGGACCTGGATGAAAGAACGCAATTTCAGAAGTATGAACCTATTCGGAACGTATCGGAGCTGCAAGTCAAGTCTTCTATGAAATTATCCTTATTGCACAAATAAAAGTGTAATTTAATGCTTTAGTCATTCGGATAATTTGCAGACCATGGCTCTGCTAAGCCTATAGAATGTATTAGTTTATAACTTCAATTGCTGTCTTTAATACAGTAAAATGCTATTATAATGTTAAAAAAAAGTCAACACCTATGAAGCCAACGTATTTTTTTAAAAAAACAGAAGTATTGGCTTCCAGAAGTTTGATCCCAGTATCTATCATAGGTAATTATTATTATTTTATTAGCCACGCTAGAAATACTCTGATGCTGAATTTCAGAGCCTGTTCACTTCAATGCATTAACAAATATATTGCATCTCCGTTTCATAAATATTTGTTTTACCTGGAATGATTTCTTATGTCTGTTGTAGCTTCAAAATAGCACAGGATATTTTACTGTTCTGGGAGAGGCATGTGCCCAGAAGTTGATGTTCCCCCATTTAACAAGCAGTATGAATATGGGAGTTGTAGGATTTAAGAAATTCCCCTCTCCCTAATAGTAAAATTGCATTTTCCGAGATCCAAGTTTTTGGGGTTTATCCATATTGAGCTGTGAGGTTAGTAAATACAACATTTCTAGATTTACCAGGTGCAAAACTTGTACCTTTTGGAAGTGTCAGAAGAGCAGAAAGGTACTTTCAACCTACCAAGGTCATCAAGTTTAACGTGAGTACTGCAAATGTTGGGGTGAAAGGAGGACTTCAAGTGGTACAATTTGGAAGCAATACTGAGGAATGTGCTTAATAATGTTGGGGAATCTTCTTGTATGGATTTACCGATAAAGAGGTAGGAAAAATCAGGGGGGGGAATATGTAAATGTTATAGAAAAAAGGTATCTGTGCTTCATTAGGAGGATTTTTAAGCAGAGTTCATTTTCTTGTAAAACTCGCACTGGTATAATTTTAATAAAATATATGGAAAATACACAAACACAGCTCCCCAGAACAGCTTCATACAGCCCAGTATGTCATGCAAAGCCTTCTTTAATAATCCTATTTTTAAGGGGTTGGGGTTTTTCCCTCTAAAAAGCCCCTCTTCGGTGTTTTCTCACACTCCATGTTTATCGAAGACACTCCACAAATCCAGATGTCAAGACATCAGTGTTTTGTAAATCTTTGGTAGCACATTCAGCTCTCTATTTATCAGCTGTGTGGAAAGCCATACTTTTGTTTTGGAGGAAATCCAATCTTAACATCAAACCCCAGCTTCACTGGAGCTAACATTTCTACACGAATGGAGGAAGAAACAAAAGCTCCATTACCCTGATTTTTAGAAACCCTGGTTTGTGAAGGCAAAGGATGGAATTGAGGTTGAGAAGCCAGCAGCAATGCTCACCAGAAATACCAGAATACTTTGGCATGCAAGAATAAAGAAAGTGATTCAGAAAGATATCTAGAATAATGAAAAGAGGAAGGTTGGGATACGATGCAAAAAGATCCCTGAGTGACAACCGTAGCATCCGACACGAGAAGAAAATAGAGCAGTTTTACAATTGTGAATATAACTTTTGAGCAGCTCAACATCTTCCCTGACTTGGGAGACACACGCCCCGAGCCCTTCCATTATGTAGAGCAGCCTTGCAGGAGTTTATTTATTTCTGTATTTTTTAACCTCAAAGTAAGACAAAACTACATTGATGAGACTATTTAAGATTGACTGAATAAAGCAGAGGTGTATTAGAGCCCATTTACAATTTTAATTATGTGCTACTCTCTCCACTAGTTCTTATAGGAGAATATTCCATGTAATTCATTAAATTTAATCTCTTATTTAATTCCATTTCTGGCACTTTCCTTAAGTATCTGTCTTTGATGAAAACAGTGGGGAAATATTTTCTCTGCGGAAAATAATGACAGCAAGAGTGAGGTTACGTCGTGCTGCTTCTTGTTACGCCAACTTTGTTACACATCACACCGAGAAAACTTTTAAAAGAAAATGCAACAAGTTTATGCAGCTACTCTATGAGTTTCTCAGAGAACGTGTCCAACTTACGCAAGAAATATGAGAGACGTGGAGAACAAAGTTTGGAAAATCAAGTTTAAATGTGCAGAGGTTGGTTTCTTTATCAATTTGTGATTGAAGTACAGTGTTTAAATCGGTATGTTAGTACTAAAAAAAAATATATAAATAAAAACACTGCCTTAGTGTTTAGTTTTGAAAGGCTGAGGAGTGTTGTTACAGCATCCCTCAGCCAGTCTTCCCCATATTAAACAGTAACTATTTTCTGAGCGGCATAAAGTGACATAAAACTCAAGCAGGGAGCGAGTGACATAAAACCCAAGTTCAATTATCGATTCAGTCAAATGATGTCAGTAAAAAGCTGCAAGAAGGTTTCACTGGACAATAAGTAAAGCATCGCCTCCCCTTCCGTTTGGCTCCACACGGATTTCCAAGGTGTTTGCCCAGATTTACCTATCAAAGGGAAAATGATGCACGTCCAGCCTTCCCGGAGCCGCTGCTGGGAAACCCTGCAAAAGCCTTGTCCCGGTGCTGCTGCCCGAGCTCACAACTCCATCCCCACGGCCCTTCCACCAGGGTTACCCTCACCGCAACACCCTTATTAAATAAATATTCCAACACCCTCTTCACTTCCCTGGAAGAGCGGAGCCTACTATTTTAAGAAAGCCTGCCTATTTAAATGTCATTAACTATCCAATTAGTACAGTCTGCTCCTTGCTAGCTGCAGAGTACCGGGATAATCTTTTAATTGTTAACCGCTATTGAATAATTTTAGCAATTACACTTTTATACATTCTGCGATAATTAAGACAGACTACCCCTAGAATCTCAGCTTTTTTTTTTTGCTTTTTTTTTTTTTTTTTCCCCCCCAGCGCACAGTGACAACCAGAAAAGACAACCACCGGCGGAAAAACAACAGCCTGGCAGCAGGGGCGACGCTCACCCCGAGCACACGCCGCCTCCGCCCGCCTTCCGCGGCCCCCCGGCAGGATGCGCGCAGGGATCCGCGCAGGGGATGCGCGCAGGGGATGCGCTCCGCTCGCCGCATCTAACCCGCGGACCCGCGCCCTGCTCAGCCCGGGGGCAACCGCATCCCGCCGGGCACCCGCGCAGCCCCCTCCCGCCCTCCCCGCGCATCTTCCGCGCAACCGGGCAAAAAAAAAAAAGCCGGGGAAGTTTCTCTCCTCCTGAGGAGGAGGCAGGCGCCCGCCAGCGCGGAACCGGCTCCCGGCACGGCGGAAACAAAGCGGATTTACCTGGGAAGGGCAGCGGGGCGCCCTGCGCAGGACGCAGCCTGTTGCGCGGGTTCCCTCCGGGGCAAAACCCCCCTCCCCAAACTTCGCGCTGGCATCCACCACCGTCCTCCTCATCCTCTTCATCCTCCTCCTCCTCCTCCTCCCCTCCCGGCTTCCCTCTGCGCCAAACCAGTTAACCCCCGGCGCTCGCCCTCCCCGCGGAAGGGGTGCGGGAGGCAAAGTTTGATCAAGGAGCGGCCCCCGCGGTGCCAGGAGCGGGGTCACCCCCCGGCAGAAGAAGCGGGGGGGGGG